AGCTATGCAATTTCAGGAACAGTTGTAAAGTGTTGCAGATTGTGTTTGGGGTTTTTTGGACAGATTTTTGATGTTTGTGTTCCTATTTGGCATAATTGTCCTTAAAATTTCTATTTAACTTGCAATTTTATATGTCCTTTGTAACAAGTGTTGAACTTTGCAGCCTTGTTCTGGAGGTAAGTTTCAGTAACTCATATTTGTGCAGATTTCCAGTAGCTCAGCAGAAGAGAAATGACAGATTCACAGCCTGACCTGCAAAGTGGAAATACTTTCTTCAGTGACCAATCCTGCTGGCATGTTGTATAGGAAGGGCAGTATTTTCTTTGCTGGTTTACTTAATTAGATTGTAGACTCCTTGGGGCAAGGCTGTTTTATTTTTGAGCCATGAACAGCACACCAGGATGGCAATTACAGGAATGCAGTCAAATTGCTACCAGTCCTTTTAGTCATTGTTTATAAACAATGGTAAGCCCTGTCTAATGACTGGAAGGAAATTTTAGCATCAGCGTTCCTATCTCAAATCTGAATAAAATCTTTGATGTCACATCTGCCTGTTATTTTGAGATGCAGCACAGATGAATTCTCTACCACTGCAGTTTGGGCAGGGGCATGGGGAGACGAATAAAACCAGTGCATTTTATAAGGAAGTTCTGACAAATTGCAAGTCTGCTGTAGCAATAAGGGACCAGTCAAATGCCTGCTGAGTGTTTCTGTATTCAATGCCATATTAATTCAAATTTATGCTGCAATGTTGAACATGAACACATTTTGAAATGTTTTAATTTACCATCTGGTAGATGTAATAAAATTAATTTTATAATCATGTAAAATAGTAAGTTTTTGGTTGCATTCCTTGGTAACAGCAAACTTCTGCTTTTAGTACAGGGAGTTGATTTTAAGTATGGATATTGCTTTTCTCAATAAACAAGCAATTACAGTGAAGGGAAATATTTTTCTGGTTTCATTTATAAACATCCTTATCATTTATTTCCTTTGTAGACAGCAAAATCTGTTGATGAAAGCTATGGCTTTGTCACACTAACATAGAGAAAAAATGGAATTTGCAGAATAGGTACCAGTGAGCAGAGGGAGGTCGAGGTCTGTCTGCATTAGTTTTCCTGCTCACCATTCTCATACAAAAATAGCATTTTTCTTTTATCTCAGAGGTAGGAGAGGGTTGAATTGGCTGGATCTTTTTTATTGGCATTTCCTTTTTTTTTCCAAACAAAAGGCACTCTCATCAGCCAAGTCAGTCAGTACCAGATTGTCAAATTAAATGACTTTAGCAATAAAGCATTTACAAGTCTATCAGATGTGTCTTTCCTGTAGAATCAGGAGGCCCTTACGTTAATGGATATCTATAACTTAAGGACGCAATTCAGATAAAGTAACATTCCACAGTTGCTGTAAATACTGGTTTTAAGCTAACTTTTATTACAGGAGTGAGATAATGTACTAAACTAAACCACTGGTTCTGTTGTCTGCCATGCTAAAGGCTTTTTTTTATCAGTCATGTACGATTTCCACAGTTTGATTCAACTTTATCATTCTTCACTGTATCATCTTACAGTTTTTGTGAAGCTGTATGTTTTCAGAAGCTACATAACTAAATTGTGAGGCAACTTTTCATATTTGGATTCCTTCATCCATATTACATGTGATGAGTATGAAGCAGTAACAAATCTGTAGAACAACATGATGAGTCAAAACTTTGTGCATTGAAAGTCAATAAACTGAGTGCCTTCAACATTTTGGGGATCTAATAGGATCTAATCTGTGAGGAAAGAGTCTAAAAACATTTAAGTTAAGTCTGAAAGATTTGATCATAAGGCAAAAAAGTTGGACTTATTTGAGGAGAAATTTTAAGTGCACAGAGTTTTTAATTCAGCACTGAATCAGTCTCTCATGGGCTATGACAAGCACATGCTGTTTGTGTAGCCTTTTTGCTTTGTGAATTTCCTGTATGATTTTTTGAAGGAACATTAACGTATGCAGATGTTTGTATATTCTTAATTCTGAACATATGTAGTCCCTCAGTAATGAAATTGTGTGTTTTAACAGTTTAACATAAGGTTTGGCTTTACTTAATTTGTATTTTGTTTTATAATCTATCATGAGTATAATTTCTACAGTTAATTCCCCTAATTGACTTTCCCATTGTGGTAAATATTTGTGCAGCCTTTTAATGAGAAACATGATGCCAACTGTGTTCTACTGCCAAAGAGACTGCCTGAAACTGAGGAGAATCAAGTCAGAACTGAGCAAATCTGTTGTTAAAACTGGAAGCCCTTGCTTTCCTTTTCCTTGCTTTTGTTGTTTTGTGGTTTGATTTTTTTTTCACTTGTTTTTCATATTTCTTTGGGGTCATCTGAAGTTCATGCCTGGCTTTGAGCCTCATTATTCTGTTTATTGACAGGTTCTTTACAGGGACTTGTGTTTAGATGTCTCTGAGCAGTTCATGGGGGTTATCTTTGCATGGTTAACCTCAGTGGTTTAGAAAGATGTTTTGGGTTGTTTTTTTTTAAAAAGGAAGGGGAAGCAGAATGATATTAACCCTCTGTTACCACATTCAGAGACATCTGAATAGATCATCCAAAATTGCTACAAGGAGAGTGTTCAATTAAAAGTGGATTTTTTTTAATCTGTTATTACAATAAAACAAGAGGCTTAACTGCAGCAGCTCATCTCAGCTAGCTTTCACTTTGTAAAGGTGAAATTTCTACCTTTTTACACAGAGCTTGCTCAGTTTCTGCTGCACGAGGTGTCTGCTTCCTCACTGTGCTCTCTCAGACTCAGCGAAGACTAATACAGAGCAAAACTTAAGTTCTGTGTGTTTTATATAGATCAATCTGTCTATCTGTCAAGACATATGTATGTGTATACATATACACACAGCGCAAATATAAATTAAAATCTCATTCCTATGTGCTGTTTCAAGGTATTGCTTCCTTCTAGCAAGGAGCTATCACAGAAATCTCATTTCACATTAAATGGAAGTGACATGCATCTAAAATGCCATATAAAGAGTGAAATGTAAACCAAAGTCTATAAAGATGCATTGTTAGACAGAATTACTGGAATTCAGTTCATGTTGAATGAAAGGATGTCTGATCTACTCTCTACTACTTGTATGGGACCTTCTCTGGCAGCTTTTCTCATGTATTGATATTGTCTTTGCCATTTATTACCATTTATATGTCTATCATTAGAAAGATCTTAACATTTAGTCTGTGTTTTGAAGTAACGTGCAGTTTGTGCAGATCTACTAAAATGTACTCAGTGGACCATGCAGAATGGCATGCACTTGATTTCAATATATTAGGAGCTAGTTTTCTGAGAAAGGGGTTTGGGGATGGGTAAGCAGTGTGAGAGCTTCTGTTGTCTAGCTAGTACTTAATTTGCTAAGATGGTAAATATTTTGGAACCTTAGCTGTTAACGTCTTCTGTCTCTTTTGTCCCTTCTTGTTTATCTCTGTTCTCTTTTCAGCCTTGTCATTTCAGTATCTAGTATTATGGTATTATATATTATATATATCAAGTATATCTATTACAGGTGGGTACCTGATGTCTGTTATGTGACATTTGCAGTAAAGAAAAGTAGTTCAAGTGCCCAGATCTAGGAAACATTTTTTTCTCTATCTGAAGTGTTTTAGTGTATGGTGCTTTCAGATATACTCTGGAGACAGAAGCAAACAGTTTTTCAACACTAAATATTTTAAAGTCACAGATTATGTAGGCAACTCAATAAATGCATCAGTAATGTTTGTTTTCCAGCCTCTTTTGAAAATATGCCCTTGATGTATCAGAGCCACTTTGAAGAGATTGGATGCGAACTTTAATCTTTCAGAGTAGCTGTAGAACTAAGGAAAACTTTGTCCATGTTTGATGTCTTAGAACTATTTGGGCTGAAACAGAAAAGTTAACATTTAATGCTGTGTATCTTCAGCAGAATTATAAGATGAAACTGAAGTGTTTGATGTTCTGGGAGTTTGTGGACTCTGGAAGAAAAATTCAGTGTTAGAATGTGTTAATAATACCGAGGGAGCTACTTTGTTATTGTAACAAAGAATTGTTGAACTCCAAAAACTTGTGTATGTCAGGTTAGCCTCCAATTGCTATTCTATTTGTGAAAGCCCTCCTGGTGTGATACCCAAACTTTTAAACAGAAGTTACTTCTCATTTGGCAGCAAGTTGGTTCTTATTTACAGCAACCTTCCTTCGACTGTCAGACCTTTTACCTTGCACATTTTTACCATGAAACTGCAGGCAGTAATTATTTTTAAAAGAACCTGTCATCAACTGGAGTGAATTCAAGTCCAGGCAAAAGCTGCAGGTTTTCAACAGAGATAGGCACTTGTCCCAAGACAGAATTGTCTGGGAGCTGATAGGACCAGTGGGGTTTTGTTTTACTTGGATTCAAACACCTGTGCAGAGAAATACTGTATTACTTGTTAGTAGGTGTCCTTTGCTGTGTAGATTAATTGAGAAGCCTCTTTCAGGGCTCTTTTCTAGGTGAAAAAAGATGAGGTGCTATAAATCCAGATCAAACTATTGAATTTTCATGGGTGAGTGAGAGTAGTACATATTAGGAAAGCACTGGACATAGTCATTCGTTGAAAATATGTGTGTGTATATATGTCTATACATTGAGAAAAAAAAAATACAGGAATTTTTGGTTGTTTGAAGAAGACAGATCTGATCCTCTGAACTAATCAAAGAATATCCTTTTGTGGGATTACATTGTTCTAGGAATGTGCACCTAAATCATTCCACATCATCTGTTTTCTCCCATCTTATTTGCATGTAGTTGAAAATGGTAAATAAGAAAATGGATTTCTGGGAAAATGACGTTCACTGCGTTTCCTGCATTGTTTTGGAACAGTGATGTTCTTCCCAGATAGCTTGTTGATTGCTTTTAAATTTTTAAATCATTTATTTCTGGGGGGGGGAAAAAAAAAAAAAGTGGTTTAGTTAGTTTGTTTGGTTTTTGTCTCCTTCAGGTAGAGGTAACAGATATAGAAAATGAAGAAAAAAGATACCATTTGTTCCTGGGACTTCTGGAGTCCAGTCAGAGTCTGTCTGAATTTCAGCACTTGGTCTTGCTGCTTCAGGCTTGGCCGCCGATGGACAGGAGCAATGGGTGAGTGTTTCTTCAAACAACCATGTAATAAAGGAGTTTTCAAAGTCTTCTTGCTTGATACCATGTTGTTTTCAGTCAAATAATTTAAACATGGCTGGTAGGAATGTGCTCTTTGAAAAAGGTCCTATTGGGGGAATAAATGGTTTGTTTAAAGCAGAGTTGAATAAATCAGTTTTCTGTAAAACGTGTGTGTACACATATGTATCTGTGTCATGGAGGAGGGCAGAAGAGTGTTTTATTGCCTGAACTCTTGAACAGGAGAGTGTTCTATCTATTTAAATTTCAAACTACGTATTTTGCTCTTGTTTTTAGCGGTATAAACAGAGTCCATAAAAAAAGAACAGAAAGTTCTGATTGTTCTCTGTATTCAAAGTTACACTTTGCAGAAAGGCCTTCGAAAGGTGATGTTCAGATGGATGTGGCAGACAGTCTGCAGGAGGTCTGGGAGAGTAATGGTACCACAAAATGGCACTTCTCTTGTCTAGATCCACTACCAATTACTTCTCACTCTGAATAAAGAATCCAAACCAATTTAAGATTAAAATAATTATAAAACTTCAGAATTGCACCCATCGAAGTGGATATTAACTGGAAGTAGTAATTTGGAACATCCAGACTACATTATATTTTATCAGTTCTTTGGGTTTTGGCTTTGACTTTCTGAATACATTTGAAAATAAAAAATGTAGCTGTTGTATTCTATAACTGCTAATCACTTTTAAGATACAAGGATTCAAATAAACTCATGTGGAGAGGCAAGGGTCACATGTCTTTCAGAGAGCAGTAATTCTAATACATTTTTGGCTAGCCATGTCTGACACAAGTTAGATTAGAGTCATTGGATGGTGTTTATTTTGAATTACTTTTGGATTACCTTAAAATAGGTTGTAATCAATACAATCTGTTTTAACTTGGGGACTACATTCACAAAGACATAACATAACAAAGTGTTTATGTGCATTGATTTTTCAGAAAAGTTAAGGCTTATCTTTTTCTGAAAAGTAACTTTCTTATGCATGTGTAGAGAACTGGTGGGTTATAAGGTAATCTGTAGTGGTTTTTCACATTCAAGCTTGCAGTTTATTTGGAATTTCTGGATAAGCATTGACCTAAATTCTCTACTGAGAGTTTTAAAAGCCAAAAATTCTTGAGTACATTAAGAATTACAAGGACTGCTGTGGGATCTGTCACAAATGCATGTTGCAACTTTCATTTTAAGTTCTGGTTTTGATTGTAATTGAAAAATGGATCCCTAACATTGTGGGGGAACTTTCATACTTTTTTTAATCTACACATTACCTTTAACAAAAAACGAAAATTTAAAAAATAAAAGGTCAATTTCAAAGGAAATACTGCTGCAAATTGCAAAATCCTTTTTATTTGTGTTGAACAGAAAGAGTTCTGTGAAAGGAGAACCCTTCTTGTATACAGGCAGTTCTTGTCTACTTTTCAGTTACAGAGGACGTAAAAAATGACATGTAATTGTATCTCCCTCTTGGTGTTCTAGTCCTTCAGTCTGACTTCCTAAAGTGAAGAATAAAAAAAAAAAAAATGGAAGTGAAAATTTCTGCAAATACTTAGGTCACCTGTATTATAACTATTTTAGAGTCTGAGGTTGTTACTCTGGCTCCTAGGCAATTACATAGTCACAATTCTTTCCTCTTCTTCAATCCATAATTCCACAGCATTCATCTGTGCACTGAGCACCCTAGGGGTTTATGTATGTGTATATGTGTTCCTGGAAAAGTCTATCTTTTGGATGCTTGGGAGTAAAACATGGAACTCTTTTGGTATTTTCAACAATTTCATTTTAAAGCAAGTTGTATTAACAAATTTTTGAGCAAAGAGGAAAACATCAAGAAGTTAAAACTAAATGCATTGGTGTGTTTGTTTACTCTTTACTCTTTTTTTCCTGCTTCAGAAGGTCATTATCACTTGGTTTACAGCCAATGTAATGAACCTTACAGGAACTGGGGAATTTAAGTGTGAGTCATGTGAATACTTAGAACTTCAATCTAGCACTAATAAAATATCTAATACTTACAATTGAATAAAAAGCTGGAAAACACAGTTTACATTCTGTAAAGGTTTAAAAGGAAGGAGAAATAAAAGAACTAAGGTTTGAGGGGGTTTTTGGTAGGCTTTTAATTTTTGTAACCTCTATGGTAGTAAGTCCTTGGTTATTTCAGTCAGCACTCAAAGCTGTACACTTCTTAAAATTTTATTTTCATACCCATGTTATGCATGCATGCTTTTCCACCCAGATGGCTCATAGGCAGATGTCATTTTAAACATTTCATAAAGGTGTTTCTTAAAAAAATTATTGATAGTACCTGAAGCTCTACAGTCCTTTGGAACTTGCTGCCTACGTTCAAAAGGCATTTTTTATATTTATTATAAATATTGATAAGATGCTTTGGAACTGAAATAACCCTGGTGTTTGAGACCCAGTACTTTAGTTCACTTTTTAAATCTTAATCCCAGATTTTCTGCTTTTGGCTTTGGAAAAAAAAAAAATTAAGGAGTTTCTGCTGTGATTTTGTAGTAATACTTTTTTTCATTATGAGAAATAATTTTTTATAAGCACAGCTGAACTGAAGTAAAATTCAAAAGAGAAGAAAACTGAATTCTGCCTGTAGGTGTCAGATTCTGGTAACTTAATTTTGGTTTTAATTAGGGATAGCAGATAGTTGTTAATAGTGCACAGGAGTATTTGAAATAGTTACAAGGAATTGTGATGAGAAAAGCTTTATGTATATAAACTATATAATCTGGTACTTAAATAAATTTGTATATGGCAAGCCTTGATAGCCTTGCATCTTTCTGGTTTGTTTGGTTTTTGTTGTTGCTTTTGTTTTTTTTTTTTAGTGTGATTTTTGTTTCCTTTTTCTGATGGAAAATTCTTAGATTTTCTTAATGTACTCTGGGGGCAGCAGCTGTAGAAATGGAAATGCATTTTGGCTCTGTGTCTGTGTCTGTGTCTATCCCAGTGACAAGGTGGAGTTGCAGGGATTTTTTCCTTCTCACACCCTTACTGGGGATTCACAGGCAGAGTGCCTCGTGTTCTGTTTGTTGAATAATCTGGTGTCTTGGGGCTCGACCCATCACGTTGAAAGGAGCGGAGTGGAGGAACTCTGCTGTTGGCAGCCAGACTTCTGACAGCTCTGTGCTCAGTGCCTGTGACTGATGGAAAGGCTCAATTAAGTTGTCAGAAGGAAGAAAGACAATGACTTCTATTTAATTTACATTCAAAATTGCCCACTCCTAGCTTCTCTGTCTGGTTTTCATGTTGGACTGTAATGACAGCTGCATGTGGAGCTGCTTTTACTTGTTTACACTGTGTACTTTTAAAAGTGGACAATGAGCAGAAGATACCTTTTATGTATGAAATAGTAGATATTGGTGGTTGTTTGCTCCAGAGCTGTCAGACACTTGGTGTGTCAATCCAACAGACTCTTAACAGACTCCATTTACAATTATATTAATGTGTTGCTTTAATAATTGCTGCAAAATAACTTTGAAAAGCAGCATTTTGACAGTACTTCGCTGCTTCTTCTTTTTCTACGTGTACTAAATGAGTATCTTAATTTTCACTAAATTGTAGTACCACTGCCACTTTTGGTCCTGCTGTGAGAGTTGTTTTTTTGTTCTTGTTTTTGTTTTTTTAAGCTAAAGTGGAAAGTTTACTATGTCTTTGGGATGCTGATTACTGACCAGAGAAATTGATGGGGTGATTTTTAAAATGCCTCTTGTGCCTTCTTAAGTTTATGCACAGATAAACATAGACATTGTGTTATTGTGACTTAATACAATCATTATATAAGCTGTAATTGCACATGATTTTATCCCACTGTAGGTGGGAATTGCATCAATTTAATTTACATTAGAAAAATGGCAGTGTAGGTGTGTTTCAGTGTTGTGCTTTGTGCTATCAGTTAAAAGTGGCTTGTTATCCATTTCTGTCACTGCATCCACTCCTGGTCAGTATACCTGTTTCTAACAAAAGTATCCAAATATCTCCGTGATCTACCGAATAATGGCTACAAAAAAAAAAAAAACCAACTTCACAGCAAGCACTGCCTTTGCCATCCTGCATGATGAAATTTACTTGTATACACTGTCTCCCATCTGTTTGTCTGACTGTAATGGTAACATAGCATGAGGTTCTGTGTGGAATTAAAAGAACGTTTTAAATGTGTAAAACAAATGTAACCCTGTCCATATCTACTAGCAGAGTTCAGATGCATGTAATTTTACTTTCTTACCCTTTCTGGATGGGCTGTGGAGAAAAGTTTGTTTGTACTCACTGGACCTGAAAATTAAAATGTGAATCTGACTATATATTTTCCTCTCAGAAGCAAGAGGAAACTTGAGAAACAGAAGCTGTTAGAATGTGATCAAAGCAAACAAAATTAGGAATACTGGATTCCTGTCACCCCTCCCTAGATACCACTCTCCTTGGGAAATCAGCTGGTGTAAAGCCAGGAGAAGATCCTGTGCTATTCCAATTTGATCAGTCTATCTGGTGTACAGTTCCTCAGGGTTTGTAGTAAGCATGTCATAATTCCAAGTAATTTAAAATTCTTTATTGCATTGAAAGAGCGATGGCATTATGGAGAGTAACTTGTCTCAGAACTTTCTTCTTTCTTTCATGAGGTCGTAGTTTTAAGTCACACATGAGAAACAACCTACAGAAGATGGTATATGTATATTTATATTCTATACACATCTCTCTTTTTACTGGGCAGATCGTGCACAGATGATAATCCCTGGGTGAAACTGGGGACTTTTATGCTGCAGAGGTGCCCACCTGAGGAAAAGGAGAACACAGGAAATGAAATTTTGAAAATCTGCCGTTCTTTGTATGAGACAAAGCACATGCTCCCTGCCAAGGTAAGTTTTAACTTTGGATATCATGTTTATGAGCTCTGTTTCAAGATCCCAGCTACAAGTAAGATGTTGCCATACTGGATCAAGTGCAGTGGAGATCTAACAGAGAGGCTGAGATCTGGGTTCAGTCTGTCCTGAGGAGAGATGACTATGGGAGATCATGTCTTTAAGTAGTCCAATAAGGAAAGAAGGAGAGGAATTAGAGTCAGTCTCTTTTCAGATATGCTCAGTTAAAGGACAAGAGGCAATACAGACGTGTTACATCATCAAAAACTCTCATTGCATTGAATTTTTCATCTTTAAAGTTGTGAAACATTAGAATTAGAACAGTTAGATGCCTAGAAGAGATATGGGGAATCTATCTTTTTAGGTATTTAGGACTTGACTGGATTATGTCACAGGCAGTTTGATATTGTTGGACTTGTTTTGAGTTGGAGGATTGTTGGATTAGCTGATCTTTTAAAATCTGTTCCAGTATAAATTATTCTTTAATGTATTTGTAGAAAGGCTTTAATAATCTGTTATCATTTAAATCAGTGTTGCAAAAACTGTTACTTAAATTATCACTAATTCTCTTACTAATAAATGCATAAAGATGTAGTGAGGAACCCCTGAAAAACAGCGATTGGAAAAAAACCTTAATACACAAGTAATTGCTAAGTAGCGACTATGATACTCTAACTTGTCTTCCCTGTCTGTGCATACTTCAATACAAACATCTCTTATGTATAAAATTATTAAAGTTTTTTGTATGTAAACACTGTATATTAATGAAGACAGTCTGGAGAAGTTCTTAATAAACTTCACACAATTTCAGAGTAGTCATGCATATTTTTTAGTAGGCTGATAAATCTCTTGTTATCTTTATTCAGTCACTGTCTTTTATAGAAAACAGCTGATGTTAGGAAGAGAAGCAGAATAAAAACAACACATTATGTTTAAAATACAGACAGGTGGGTGTGTGGGTTTTTGTTTGTTGTTTGTTTTTTTTCCCTAGCCCAACACACTGATATGAATAAAATTCAGAAATCTATGTAAAACATGATTCCAGAAGGTGGCAGTAAGCTGAAGTGATAAGTGCATTTATGAATTTATTCATCCCACCAAAACTCTTTGGTGGAAGGCAGGTCTGTGTATCCCTGGGAGTGCTATAATTATATGCAGCTTTTCTCTGTAAGGTGCTGAAATGATGCATTGTAGCTTGTACACTCACAGTCATATCTGATGGGAGTAGCTGAACTTTGTCAAAGTAGAATATTCTGCCTCACCTTGGTGATCCAGGGAGACAAATCCCTCTGAGTGTCACTGTCATACAGCAATCAGTTCACCAAGAGTTCTGCTCAAGAAGGGTCATGCATTTCTCTTAGTTGAATAAACTTTTCCACAATCTTCATGACAAGTCAAGTTTACATACACTTTTGGTATTGGCAGACAGCTTTCGTTGGAGATGCTTTCCTTTCTTTTTTTTTTAATGGTAGAGTATGTTGAAAGAGCCCATCACATAAAGTATGTCTGTACAGGTAAGGATATGAAGTTACTTTGATCTTCAAGGTTTAAACAGGCTTACTGATGTAAAATACATTATTTTATGGCTAGAACGCTGTGCAGTAACAAGGAGTTGCACTAAAATGTGTAGCTGTACAGTTACCTGCAAACACAGTCTGCATTCCTGTAAGTCACTGCTTGGGAAGAGCAGAAATGACATGCATGAATTTAAGTAGTTTATTTGTATGTATAGCTACAGTACTTAAGTGCTCAAATGACAGATTTGCAGTTGTGTGGCTGAATAAGATGAAAATGTGATCACTGACAATTAACCTGTTTAGGTGATGTCACATTTCAGTAAATCCACTTGATTAAGATGACAAATTTGGAATGATGGAATTCTAAAAACTGAAACCAGTTCACTATCATGAAAAACATTTGCTATTCAAGTTCTCTCCCATAGTAACCTTGCTAAGTGCAAAGGTTGTAATGGAAAGCACATGTAACTTCAAATTCATGTGGTCTAGAAGAGCCATCTTTGGATATAGTCATGAAGGATTTAACTCTTTTTTTTATTCCATATCCTACTGGTCCATCTAGTTTTTTAAGCCAAGTACTTTTTATATGTCTTTTGGATAGTTACATAGCTTTAATCTTTGTATCTGTGTCTGTGTTTTCTTTGGAGGGCTATTTTTGTGGGGTTTTTTGTTTGTTTAGGGTTTTAATTTGCATCATTCAGTGGATAGATAGCTCCATTCCTTTTAGCAAAAGAAAGGATTGTTTATTTTTCTTTTTTTTGCCTGGAAGACACATGCTTGGATTGTCCAATATCTGCTCTGCCTGATTAAATCTCTTTAGAAAGGGATAAATCCTTCTCCCCTTGGTAATTGTTAAAAATGTAACTCCTCTGAATATCTTACATTCTTCTCTCAGCCTATGGGTCATGTGTCAGTTAACATGGGAGAATGCATCTGGTGCCTTATCTGTAATCACCCTGGGGTCCTAGTGGCTATGAGATACCTCCTAGAATAACACAGCAGACAGTTGGTCTCCTTTTTTCCTAATTGTTGTAGCTAGTTTTTTCTGGGGTTTATATATGATTTTAGATTGTGTGATTTTGTTCATACACAGTTGTGACTGCTCATTCTCTTCAGATAATGTTGAATTTAAATTCTGCTTTTCAATCTGTTTTTAGCCTCTTCAGACATAATGCTGTTTGTATTCATTATCCAGCCCTTCAAGTCATCCATGAAAATAATGAATAATACTGGACCCAAAACAGACTCCTATGGCATATGGTTTATTTGCCGTGCTGATGTCACAGTGAAACACTGACAGCTGTGTAACTAGACAGAAGACAAAAGTTGTCTTACAAAAGTTTCAACTAAATCATGGTAATTCGATTTTGAATTGGGCCTTCCCTCGACCCTCTCACAGGTTACATCAAACCCCCTCTAAGCAGAGCCTCTCATGGCAGGCAGCAGACACTTGAATGCTTTCAAGTGCTCACTGCAGACCAGAAACCCACTTATGTTGCTCTGAGAAGTGCTGTGGCTAATGACTTCCTTCCTGAGCTTGGGTTTTTAATTCCTGTCCAAAGCAGCCCTGCACACATCTGTGGCAGTGATACAAGTTGATACTTGTACTATTTGGACAGTCTTTAGTGTCTGGCATGCTGACCAGCTGCTTTCTGTGGAAAAGAAAATGCAATAGTTGGAATACATATTTCTTCTTCAAAAGAGATTATGGCTTCTTCTGTACTTGGGCATGGTAGTTAAGACTGAGTATATCTGCTGGACATGCTACTATCAGACAGAAAGTTATTCAACTTGTCCATCTGGTTTTGAGAGGGAAATGTTGCCAAGCATGATAAAATTGCTGTTTTGCTCAGATTATGTATTTTATGACTCAGAATTTGTTTTCTGAATATAAGTCACATCTCTTGCTATGAATACACATTTTCAAGAGAAGAAGACGTGCAGACTTTCCATTCAGTAAATTTGCTGGAATGGCAGGTATGCATCTCAAAAGAAATCCAGTGGAATATGAAACTACCAGAAGTTTAATAAGCATTTGAATGATCACATAAAGCTTAATGTATTTAGTCATCTTACTCCTTGATCCATGTCATACCATTCACAACAAGCATGCTCATGCTGCTAAATTGGGTGGAGCTGTTGACTCCCTCAGGGATAGAGAGGCCCTGCAGAGAGACCTGGACCAATGACAGCGATGGGCAATCACCAACTGCATGGAGTTAAAAAAGGGAAAGTTCTGGATTCTGTACCTGGGGCAACCCTGGATGTACAGACAGACTGGGGAATGAGAGGCTGGAGAGCAGCACTGCAGGAAGGGACCTGGGGGTTCTTGGGGCTGATGGCAAGTTGAACAGGAGCCAGCAGTGCCCTGGCAGCCAGGAGGATCAACCCAGCCCTGGGGGCATCAGCCCCAGCATCACCAGCCAGGCCAGGGAGGGGATTGTCCTGCTCTGCTCTGGGGTAGTTTTGGGTGCCACAATACAAGACTGTTAGAGACTGTCCAGGGGAGGCCATGAGGATGATGAAGGGCCCTGAGGGGAAGCTGTGTGAGGAGAGGCTGAGGTCACTTGGTCTGTCCAGCCTGGAGGAGACTGAGGGGAGACCTCACTGCAGTTACAACCTCTTTGTGATGGGGAAAGCAGGGACAGGCACTGATCTCTGCTCTGTGGTGACAGTGACAGGATCTGAGGGAATGGCCTGAAGTTGTGTCAGGTAGATTTAGGTTGGATTTAGATTTAGGAAAAGGTTCTTCCCCCAGAGGATGTTTGGCACTGGGACAAGGCTCTGCAGGGCAGTGGTCACAGCAGCAAGTAAACAGAGTTTGCAAAGCATTTTTCCAGTGCTCTCAGGTACGTGGTGTGACTCCTGGGGATGGTCCTGGGCAGGGACACAAGTTGGACTCAGTGATCCTTGTGGGTCTCTTAAACTCACCATATTGTGTGAGTCTAAGCATTGACCATCAGTAGCAGTACTGAATACAAGTATAAAGGAACAAGTCTGAATCAGAGAACAAGGCTTGCCTTAGTGACTCGGAGCTTAGTATGATGGATATTATGGAATGGATGGATGGAATATATTATTCTACGCTGTTTTTCTTTAAGGGGTAAATTTAGAAAAGACTGAGCAAGTACAGCCCGAGAGCTCCTTGTCCCAAGCAAAGACAGGTGTCTGTGCAGTACATCACATTTGGAGTATTTAATGTCTCCTCATTATCAAATAATATTTAGGCTTTTAGTGTCACAGCTGCTGAAACTATGCTACTAAATATGTGGATCATCTTAGTTATTAAATTGTTACAGTTATCATTAAAGTTCAAAACACAAAAAAAAATATAACTTGCATTCTCTCAGTTTAGTATTTGGCTGATGTGCTCCTTTGACAATTGCTCTCAAATTGTTGGAGTGAAACAGAGAGAAGCTCTTAAAAGATGGATACCATTTTCAGTGTAACTACCATACAATATCCAGAGTCCCTAGTGTAAAGTGCCTTGGAAGAAGTTCCATCTTGGATGGGCCTCGCTGGGAAGTGGTTGTGACAAGCAACCTAAATTCTCAAAAATGACAGAAAGGGAAAGGGAAATTATGATTTGATTTATAATAGAATTTGTAGGTTGAAATACTTTTTGATGTATAAATGAAGAAAATGAACAACATGGAGGAAAATAGCTCGCATGTGGGACATGTTGTTTGGTTGTTTAACTAAGGGACAGTGTAAAGGTTTGGAAGTGCACAGTAGATTTGTTGAGGGATGTTTTTGTTTTTATTTTAGAAGGTATTTTCTGGCCAGTTTTGTCTTGAAATTGTGTGATGCTAAATTTATGCTGTATTATCAAATATAGGAAACCAAATGAATGACAGAAAGTTAATTTGCTAAACTCTAATTGTGTATAAAATATTGTATAAAATGTTGAAGCTTTTTGCAACAGAAGCAACAGAAGCATTGTTGAAGTCTGGTATGTACTGTTATTTCTGCTTTATTTTGTTCTACTTTTCTGATTGCATTATTGAGTTACAGAATTGTCAGAGGTGTCTGTCAACATTTCTTCCTTTGTTTTGCAGTATTTCAGTAAGCACAAATATATTAGTCCCACAGAGAGCTGTCATTGCTCTGTTATTTTTTCAGTAAAGCTCCTGGTTGTAATGGTGATTCAGTACCTGCCTTGTCTAACAAATGTTGCATTTTAACCAGTATTCCACATTTTTAAAATTTGTTCTTTCAAGTTTTCAAGGAGGTGTTTCCAACAGGGAATTCATTTGTTATGGAAGTGTGGTTTTCATTTTGCATTTGGCATAAAATTTTCATAAATTTTATTGTGAATGATGATGTTAGTATCTTCAGAGATCACACTGAGAGAATTTGCTTTTTATTTCAGTGTATAAAAGAATTATGTTTGCTGCTGCTTAACCAGTCCCTCCTGCTGCCATCCCTGAAACTGCTGGTAGAAAGCAAAGACCAAGACCTTCACGCTGTGGCACTGGAGCAGATAACAGCTGTTGCTAAGGTAGGAACAGTTGAATGAACCACCTTTCAGAGGCTGAAATAATAAGTTAGCTCTTTCATCTTCATGTAGTAAGCAGAGATTACTGAGACACTTACCATTATTAAGGTTTTCCACAGCTATTGTGTCCACGGTGACCATTAACACAGGGCTGGTACGAGCTTTTATACATACTCCAGGTGATTAAGCCTCATAGCACTTCCTTTAAATTACTCAGTATGCTGTTTCAAGTCAGTGTGGTGGAACAGAAGTATACTTCTGTTATATGAAGTAGATTGCTACCTCTGTGTTCATATTCACTTGCTTTGGGGTTTTTTAAGTGATAATAGTATATCAGGTGACTTGTTTCTGACAAATGTGGCATCTGTTTATATACACTTGGAGAGCTGTTAGGTCACTGTTCTTGTTTTGATGGTATCTTTGGGGGCTTTCATGCCATTCTAAACAAACTTGATTCCGTACTGTAGCAAAGTTTCTGGAGAAGAAGCCTAAATACTGTTTTTTCTTCAGACAACAATGGAAAGACATTAATGCATATTTGTCAACTGCTATATAACACTATATGACTGCCTTTTCCCTCTGTATTGCTTTTCAGCAAATAAGAAGGAACACCTAAAATGAGGAAAGTTAGTCTCCTAGGCAAAAACATTATATCATATATTTTATCTTTTAGCTGAAAACTTAGCTGAGTTTAAAATTTTTTGAAGCTCTGAACTTGTGCATGTGCAACCTAACTTTCTTGGGTTTTATGTTAGTTGTGGTCTGAAGTCTAACATTCTATTGCAAAAGAGAAGGAACCAGTTGTCTCTGACCTATTCATGGAAGAGAATGGCTTTTTCCTCTGACTGAATTAACTGCACTGATAATTTCCAGAATTACAATACTTAGGTAGGAAAGCCTCATCTTTAATATTTCCTAATTCTGCACCATATCTGAGGGAGCTTTTGGTTGTGTATTACAATACAAAATAATAATTTATGTTATATTTTCCTTGTGGTACTACACAATGAAACTGCCCACATGGAAACAAATGAAACCATGTGTCTTTTTAAATAAATATTCCCCAAACATAAAAGCTTTAAAAATGTGATTTGTAGGAATTTAGATTGAAATGATAACTGCCTTCTAGGGATACCCTCTATACTGATTGCCACAAAGTTTTCAGGTTCTTTGGTTGTAACAAAATGTACAAATCCTGTCCCCTACTTTTAACCATTCTCTTTTACCTAGGAAAGATATTCTCCATCTTGCTCTTCCCAGAATTCTCCCTTAGGTCTCTCTTCCTCATGAGCTGTGTTTTTCTTCCTTTTGCATGTTTTATTCTGGAAGCTTTCTCTTTTAGCATCCTTTGAAAAGTTTGAGAAATGATCCATCTCCCTTCCAGAACTGGTGAAGCCAGAGAAGCAATGGATCTGGAAGCATAGGCTCCATTTCACATATTGCTGATTTTCTTTCAAAAGGACTTTGTTACCAAAATGGAAGAAGCACCAGCTTTTTTAATGTGTTCTCTATGAAGATTTGAAACAGTAGAATGGAAGGTAGCAGGACATATTATATGTAACATATATGTGCTTCTACCAAAATTCTAATGCCATTGTTTGCACCCAGTTTGAATTTTGTTTGCTACTTGAGTTTGGTATCTAAACTAAGAACACACAGGTATTCCTGTTCCCTTTTTTTTATACCAATAAACAAAAAAGTTCTGTTTTTTACAAAATGATTGTAGAAATATTAACCACCAAAATAATAGTACATTGTTTTCTTCTACCACCTGCAATTTTAGATTTTATTTCTACAAAGCAGGGCTTTTTGGTAACTTTTAAATAAGATTATCTCATTGAAAGCAAGCACAAATATGATAATCTGATACATGCATGCACTTTCTCATCTCTGTGTTCTTGTTAGCCTTTTAAAATTGACTTTTGTTAACAGATGAAAGCTGCTGTATAAGTGACTAATTCTGAAGCTTGTCAGCAGGAATAAGTGTTCGAGTACATTTTATTTAAATTTTTAAGGCGTAATGCTGTGAGGTAGCACTTTCTGAATGGTTACTAATTGTGTTGCTCTTTAAACTGGCCATTTCTTCCTAGTGTGCTCTAGCCTTCAGTTTCCTACACTCTAGGCTGATTACATTATATTGGAGTTTCAGGGCCAGGAACCTTATTAACTTCTTGATAGTATAAAGCACTTTTTATACCTGTGCATGCCCAAAATAATATTATTTTGATTTTCTTATACAGAAGGTAGATTGATAAGCTGTTTCTAATTTTTCCTTTTAAATTCAATATTAATTAAAGTTCTGTAAGGGTGCTGAATAACCTAGAATTTTCGAAGCAGTTATCTTTGGTCTAATGTTTTACTTTAAGTCAATGAAGATTTAACTGTTGACTTTATTACATCAGGCATAGAGCTTAGCCAGTATCTTGAATATGACAGTGTTAGAAAAGCAGCAAGTATAGAAGATTGCTGTGCTAAATATAAAAGCTGTTCTTATATTGTGTCAGAAATACCTCTTACTCCTTGTTTTATATGCATCTCTTATGATTACATTATTTGCTGTTGTACTGAAAGTGCATATGGTTCTGTTGTTCATTCAGTATAATTTTCTATGCCTACTTTTTGCTTTTTAAAAAACAGTATTCAGACTGTTAATGCTTTTTGTTAAATTCTGAATTAATTTTTCATAGGAAGGCCATTTCTGCTTACATTAAGCAGGAAACAGACAAATAACATCTGGCAGAGGGGAATCATAGCTATTGATTCCCTGATCCAGTGCTAACACAGCTCACAAACATGGCTGCAAGAAAAATACAGCACTTGCTTGCTGATAGGATGTATTAGTTAGCCATTTGTTGTGTGTTGCTGACAGCTTTATGGATGCTTACAGTTAAGGATGATGCTGAAGTGCTGATACTAGAAATTGTACAGCTTTTGCCTGTAATAAACCAGCCAAGTTTTTGTGTAAGCTTTTTGGAAATTGCAGACCCCTCTTTTTATTGTATGTCTTTTAATGAACTGCCACTTGTGTTTTCTGAGTAACAGAAATAACTGTTCTTCCCCTATGTTGTGTACTGTGTGAGTAATTTAAAAAAACAGTTTACCTAAATAACCCTATTACTGCCAATAGAGCCCTTAAAAGTCAGATGAGTTTTGAGAGGGATTTCAGCATTATCTTTCAGAGATGAAAACTGATTTTTATACATCTGAGAGAACAAGCAAATATTCTATTGCCTGTTGGAACCCATAATGTTAAAACAGCTAACAAGTGGGGGCTTAATATAAGCAGTACAAATACTTGTTCAATCAATACTTTTATAGAAACTGGAACAAGAAAAATGTAGTCTGAAAAAATACCTTGGCTCCATTTACATGTTATAATTTCAGTGATGAAGTACTGAATCTACCTTCATAACATGCTTTACAGAAAAATGTACTATGAAAAATCACAAATTTTGTGTGGAATAATGGAATTTCTGCTGTTCTCCAGTGTATAGCATTTATGGCTACTCACTTAATGGGTGTTAATCTTTAAAAGAAATAGGTAAATTAAAAATAATGGGGATTATGATAAAATATCTTTCTCTAGTTTATTTTCCCAGGATTTATTATGTCACTGGTTTCTTTTCCCCTTATTTATTTCTTCTATAGATACATACTCCAGGAAGGAATAAAACAGAAAGCCTATTTATCTCATATAGTATTGGAAAAGGGAATACTCTGGGAAACAGCAGTTTCAGTTCTTTACTGCTGTTAGGTCATGAGTAGCTCTTACCTTTCATAACTTGAGGATTTTCTGTTGCAGAAGTTACTGGTGACATATTGCCTGTTGGTAATACCAGAACCTCTGGATACCTGCACAAATAGTGCTGATGGGGAATTGATCTAGTTCCAAACCCTGCGTGGGCAGGGACACCTTCTGCTAGACCAGGCTGCTCAAAGCCCATCCTGGCCTTGAACACTTCCAGGTTTGGGGCATCCACAACTTTTCTGGACAACCTGTTCCAACCTCACAGTGAAGAATTTCTCCCTAATATCCAATCAAAACCATTTAAAAGCAAGCAGGTTGGTTTAGTAGTGAAAGGCTGTTGTATGATCTCCCTGGAGCCTTTTCTTCTCCAGGCTGAAAACACCAACTCTATCAGCTGGTCTTCATAGGAGAGGTGTTCCAGCCCTCCTGAGATTGTCTTCATGACCTTCCCTGGACCCATTCCAACAAGTCTATGTCTCGTTGTGCTGGAGGCCCCACACCTGGACACAGTACTCCCAAGTGCTCTCATAAGAGCAAAGGTACCACTTGAATGCCTACACTTCAATGTTTGAAAGCAGGTATTAGCCAATACCTAAATAGGAAAGCCAAGGGAGAAAGAAAACCAGTTCTCCTTAATGTAATTATCCCCATCAGATCTTTTACTTGTAACCGTGGACATCATGCTAAATCTACACTGTCAAATTCTGCTGAAGGAGAGGTGGATATGAAAAATGAAAGCTGCTCCCATTTAAACCTTCCAGATTTTACTCAAATGAAAAATTTATCACCCTTAGCATGGAGTTCTAGATAGGCATAATGATTTTTCTCTAACATATACACTCTGATTCTGTCATTATTGTGGGTTGTAGTTGACTCAGACAATATGGAAAATGGTTGGGTGTTAATTTGAAGATACCTACACCTCTGAGACCTGCTTAAACTGCAGTCAGCTGCATTCCATATCACTGGAACAGTGATTCTGGTATTAGCAATAGCCTTAGTTTTATGGCCTAGCTAGGGTCTTAAGATAGCAAGGGCTGTGCATCTGCAGGCAGATCGGAAGTGCTTGATGAGTAAGATCTTGACTTAGCTGTCTGCCCAGAAAAAACTGCTGTTTTTAAAACTGGTATAGTAAGTTTGTTTTTTACTTGCTGACTTCTACTGTCTTAGACTCAAGAGTGATTTTGAAAATGAAAATTCAGTATGTTTAGGAGTTTGTATTTACTGTAGACTAATACTTAGTATGTATGGCAACCAAAAATAACTTTTACACTTTAAAAAATATTAATGGAAATCAAATTTTGAGGATCAAAATTCCATCTGGAACAGCAAGCATCCTGGCTCAAACAGATGGAAGAATTACAAGTCTAGTAAGGAGTAAGAACAGGGCAGATGTACAGGCTCTTTCTCTAAAATATTACTTTCCAAACTTTTGGTTATTTACAGCTGTATGTATCTGCTAAGTAATTGCCAGTGGTTTACTTTCTTGGTTTTGTGCAGTTTAAGGAGAAACTTGGATGAGCTTTTACATTCTGTAGTATTGTTTAACAGAGGATTCAAAAGTGAAAAAAACTATATATATTTTTATTTTATTGTAATCTGTTCCCACTAGATTAATTTGATGCTTCATATTTTTTTATTTTCGTAATATTTTTTTTAATTAGGCCTTTTATAATTTTAGTGGTGTTTCTATCTGCCCTATACCCTCTAAGCAATCTCTTTTTCAGATTGGAGAGTCATAGTTTTGCTGAGCAATTTCCTGCATAAAAAACTCACTATATTCTCTATGGTGTATTTTTTTAAAAATACATGCTTTGTGTGTTTGTCTTTTGTATTGTTTTAGTAGTTTGTTTTTTCTTTTACTTAAAGGCTTGTTGTTCTGATTTAAAATTAATTTTAAATAAATGTAGTCTCAAGCTACATTTACACTGATTTAATTTTAAAAAATCTTACAGTTCTATTTAAACAGAGCTGTTCAGTGTATAAGTTGTCTTAATTAAGGTTTCTAAACATGTATCAATTCAGTGACAATCTGTGTAGGCTGTTATTTTTATTTAAACTAATGGCTAAAAATGTGCAATTGATACCAAACAAATTGACATGATTTGGAGCTGTAAAACTGATAGTCAATTGAACTTGTCTATTTTTAAAAGCAATTCTCATTAAACCTTGGTTTCTCTGTGTTCTTTCCACACCTGCTGGACTCTACATAGACTGACTGAAGAATGGTGGAACAGAACATTAACTGGCCAGTGGCCTTAACTGCATGAAATGCATTCACAGGGTCTGGTTGCCATCATGTGTCTCCGTCCAGTTGCCTGGAGACAACTGAACTACAAAAGTTCCTCTTCCTTACCAGGTCTTCAGACAGTTTGCAAGGAAATGGGAAATGTTAATCAATTTAAGCCTAGTCATCTATTTGGGCCTAAGGATGAGCTGCGGGGCACAACCCAAGAGCCTTTTTGTGAGCTGTTTTGTTATGTGTGAAACCACACTAATCTTATTTCTTTTTGAGTGCAGACAGGTTTCTCTGCTTGTGTGTTGCATGGGCATCTTCATCCCTGTAGTATAGCTTAGGTGGTAAATGGTTTATGCTAGGAAAGGTCTTCTTTCAGATTTGTCTTTCTCAATTTTGTAGATTTTTGGTATATGGAATCACACTAATCTATAGCACTTTACCTTAAATGAACAGTAGCCCGAAAACATTTAAATGAAACCTTGCATCTGCTGTCAATCTCACTACTGTAATTACTATTTGCATTTTATGTTCGTAAAATCAAACAGTGAAGCCCTGTGTAAAGTTCCATCCTGCATACAAGTTAAGAACAGAGCTTCGAGGCAGGAGAGAATATCCCTTCAGTCCCATTTTAGAAGAGATGGCAGCTGTTTGGATAATGGCTTATTATGCTGCATGGTGTGCTGCAAGATGCCAACACTAGAAATTTTGGAATCAGAATTGTTTAGGTTAGAAAATACTTACGAAGTCTCACCAAGTCCAGCTGTTAACCCAGCACTGCAAAGTCCTCTCTACAAAAAGTCTCAGCCACTTCCTGGACAGCTTGTTCCAATGCTTGACAACTCTTTCCATAAAGAAATTCTTTCCTAATACCCAATATAAACCTCCCCTGGCACAACCTGAGGATGCTTCCTCCTGTCCTATCATGGACTTGTTAATTAGGAGAGTAGGCTGACCTCCTGTAGCCTCCTTTCAGGCAGTTGTAGAGAACAATAATGTTTCCCCTGAGCCTCCTTTTCTCCAGAATAAACACTCTGGATCCCTCAGCAGCTCCTCATACGACTCAGTCTTTCAACCCTTCCCCAGCCCATTGCCCTTCTCTGGCACCTCAGTGTCTTTCTTGCAAGTGTGAAGCCCAGAACTGGACACAGGATTTGAGGTGCAGCCTCACCAGTGCGGGACCTTAGAGATCATCTTGTTCCAATCCCCCTGCCATGGACAGGGACACCTTCCAATAGATCAGGTAGCTCAAAGCTCCATCCAGCCTGACCTTGTCAGGAATGGGACACCTATAGCTTCTCTGGACAGTCTGTGACAGTGCCTCGCCAATCTCACAGGAAAGAATTTATTACTAATACCTAATCTAAACCTGTCCTTCTACAGTTTCATCATTCATCCTTGTCCTGTAACCCCATGTCCTTATAAAAAGTCCCTCTCCAGCTTTCTTGTGGCCTCTTTTAGGGGCTTGAAGGTGTTGTGAGGTGTCTCTGGGGCCTTAATGTCTCCAGACTTATGTCTCCCTCTATCTTCATAGGAGAGGTGCTCCAGCCCTCTGATCATCCTGGTGGCCTCCTCTGCACTCTACTGAAAATGCCCATGTCTTTGTGCTGGGGATGTCAGAGCTGAATGCAGCACTCCAGGTTGGGAGAGCAGAGGGACAGAAGCCTCTCCTGTACTGCCCACACAGCATGGGATGCAGCGTAGGATATGATTTCTGGGATGGAGAGGCTTTCTGGGATGTGAGAGCACATGGATGGGTCATGTTGAAATTCTCGTCCACCAGCACCCCCAATTGCTTCTCCTCAGGGCTGCGCTCAATCCATTCTCTGCTCAGCCTGTACTTTGGCTTGGGAGTGCACCAACCCAGATGCAAGTCTTTGCACTGGGACTCGCTGAACTTCATGAAGATTTCTCAGGGCCACATCTTAAGCTTGTCAGGGTCCCTCTGGGAGGGGGGGTCCCTTCCCTTTTTTGGTTATATGTAGTTGTTCAATTGTGCTTCGTTAAGTGGTAAGTTAACACAGCACTGTATTTCAAAGAACCCAGGAAGAACATAACAAAATTAACTGAAATAGAATTTAAAGTATTTTATAGTGTTATTTGTAAAGCAACAGACAAGATTCTCAAGAGAGTATTAGGCTTTCATATATCAAGTAACCAGATTTTTTGAGGCATCCAGGGTGTCTCTCAGAGGTAGCAGCTCTGTGTTTCACATCTTTTAATATGTTATATTCTTTTGAAAATCTCATCCTTGCTGTGGGTGCTGATTGAGTCTGTGAATGTCACCTGTCATATTAACATGTAAAATGTAATGTAATATATTAATATAAAGTGACCAAAATTTAATATACTCTGCTCTGACCTTCCTCAGAGTGTCATTCTTGATACGGAACTAAATGGTGTGATCTGTGCTGCACTGGGACTGAAAACCTGTGAAAAGTCTATAAAGCTGGTGGTGTAATCCCAAGCTGTTAAGCATTCTTACTCCTTTACTTTGTGCAGGTCAAATATTTATATTAATGTGGTAGACTGTTAAAGACATACTTTTACATATTCTGACATATGCAAAGCATTTATCCCTGTGGTTAATCTGTGGGGAATACACCTCTTACTTTGAAGGTCACTCTGTCCAGTCAGAACCATCGTGGCATGTTCTGGCTGATGGCTGTATCTGGTAATTAATTTTTAATTTGAATTTTTCTTTCTTTGTAGGTTGATGATTCCACTTGTGATGCTGAAATACTTTCCTTGCTCCTCAACGCCAAGTTGGTGGTGCAGTGCATGTCCACTGCCTTCTGCCCACGCCTTATTGAGCACCTCCTGGCTAACCAGGGACAGGGAGGCTGGAATGTGGAGGAAATTGCACAACAGCTTAAGGAAGCAGGGTTCAGTGCAGAGGCTGGGTCCCTCCTGATGGCTCACCGGGGGACCCATCCTGCACTCAGGACTTTTACTACTGCCCTCCAGGCTGTTCAGCACTGGATCTGAAAATGCTGGATTTATGCATTTGTCTGCATTTTTACTGGAGATCTTACACAAAAGGGAGAAATTGTTGATCTTGTAAAGTAGCAAAGTGAGTTATTACCTACATTTCATAGAAAACACACAGCACACAGTAAATTCCCATAAACTTCTAATTGTTCCAAAAAAATATTGGTGCAGACTATCATTCTGTTATATGATTAGCAAAGCATTGAATCTGATCATCCTTTCAGATCAAAGTTAAATGGGCACACTTGGTTACATATAAATGAAACATTAGTAAGGTGGCAGGCTATATACTATTTGTCATAATTTCTGTAAGTAATTTACTCTTGTCATAATGTAAAACTAATGTAAAAATATAATTATAAAGTTATATATGGAGCAGAAAAGGTCACAAGAGTGATTTTTGAGAATTTAAAAACCTTAAAATTCAGTATTGTGCAATGTTATCACAGCTTTTGTTTGCAATAAATAAAATATTTTGCATTTAATGTACTGTCTCTTCTTTCAGCCTTTAGACAGATGAATATTTTCTTTCTTCAGCCCCTTTTGCTGGAATTCCTATCTCTCCTTAATGGTGTTTATTCATGAGGACGAGCTAAAGTCTAAGAGATATTTTTCTGCACTGCTTGGGAAGCCCCATCTCAAATCCTGAACTTCTGTTGATACCTTTTGTGAATGTACTTTCAAAGTATTTACTTATATTTTTCCTGAGTTCTGAAAAATTGCATAAATGTGTCTATTTGCACAATCATAGAATATTCTGATTTGGAAGGGACCCATGAGCATCGAGTCCAATGCCTGGCCCAGTGCAGCGCCATCCCCAGGAATCACACCATGTGCCAGAGTGTTGTCCAAAAGCTCCATGAGCTCTGTCAGGCTGGTGCTGTGACCACTGCCCTGGGGAGCCTGTTCAGTGCCCAGCCACCCTCTGGGTGAAGAACCTTTTCCTGATATCCAGCCTAAACCTCCCTGACACAACTTCAGGCCATTCCCTCAGGTCCTGTCCCTGTCACCCCAGAGTAGAGATCAGTGCCTGCCCCTCCTCTTCCCCTCACAAGGAAGCTGTAACTGCAGTGAGGTGTCCCCTCAGTCTCCTCCAGGCTGAACAGACCAAGTGACCTCAGCCACTCCTCACACAGCTTCCCCTCAAGGCCCTTCACCGTTGTGGCCTCCCTTGGACACTCTGAAGCAGTTTAATGTCTTTCCTTACACTGTGACACCCAAAATGCCCAGCACTGGAGGTGAGGCTGCCCCAGCCCAGAGCAGGACAATCCCCTCCCTGGCCTAGCAGGTGATGCCCCCAGGCCTGGGTTGGCCCTCCTGGCTGCCAGGGCACTGCTGGCTCCTGTTCAACTTGCCATCAGCCCCAAGGACCCCCAGGTCCCTTTCTGTGGAGCTGCTCTCCAGCACCTCATTCCAGTCTGTCTGTAAATCCAGGGTTGCCCTGTGCCAGGTGCAGAATCCATCAGTTTTCCTTATTGAACTTCAGATGGCTGGTGACTGCCCATCCCTCTTGAGTTGTCAAGATCTCTGCCTTCAAGGGAATCAGCAGCTCCTCCGAGTTTTGTATCATCTGTGAACTTGCCCAATATCCCTTCCAAAATTTCATCCAGGTCATTTATGAAGAGGTTGAAGAGCACAGACAGGGCTGAGGATGGAGCCCTGTGGAACCCCACTAGTGACAGGTGACCATTCTGCTGTCACCCATTCACTGTCACCTTTGTGACTGACAGATGAACCAGTTGCTTACCTATCACATGCTGTGTTTATCCAGCTGCATGATGGACATTTTGTCCAGAAGGATCCTGTAGAGATCTCCTGTAGGAGAGGCAGTACCAAAAACTTCACTGAAATCCAAAAAGATTCTAATGCTTATCCTTTCATCAACTAGGTGGCTTACCCTGTCATTAAAGGAAATTGGGTTGGATAAGCAGGACTTGGCTCTCATGAAGCCATGCTGTCTGTGAGCAGTGACTGCATTGTCTTTTAGATGTTCTCAAATATTTCCCAGAATAAGCTTTATAACTTTACCAGGCATGGATTCCAAGTGCCTTTCTGTCTTATTGAGACAATTTTTTAAAATTCTTTTCCAGAGGTTTTTTAACAAGGGTGCTGTCTGTTTATTACACTTCTTTACACAAAGGGTTTGATGTTTCATGTTTATAGACACTTCTTAAAATTAGTCTGTAATCTTTTGCCTAATCTTGTGCTCTAATTTTGATGTAATAATGTACAGAAACATTATATGCTGTAAGATCCAGAGGACACGATACGCATTGGAATCAGTCTCTAGGGTAATGTAATGTAACCTGCTTCAGGCAGGATGCTGGTGTGGCTGGAGTAGGTTGTTCCAGCCTACATTCAGTTGGGTCTGGAAAACCTCCAAGGATGACTGTGTTGGCTGTTCCCATGTTGAAAAGCTTCTTGTTTGCCCTCTTGGGATCTGCTTTGTTTTATCAGCTTTTACTGACTGTGAAAATGGCTCAGATGTCAGCCTTACTTCCCCCATTGCACAGGATTTGTAATGAGACTTTAGGCAATGCTTTAATTCTTCAGATTGTTAATTTATCTTTTGTGTTTGCTAGTCCCAGCTGTCCTTCAGTGTTTATAGAAGGTTATATCATCCATGGGTTAGCATACGTTCCAGATTCCAATTTCTATCATTCAGCTATATTGCTTTAATTCTGTTCTCTTATGTTAGCAGTCCCAAGAGCCTCAGACTAGTAAAGCAAGTATATTGGAATTGCAGAGGAAAGAAAGGAAAGATTTAAAAAAGGTAATATAAGTGGCAATCAGTAGATGTGGACAAACAACATGTACACCTCCAGCAAGAAAAACTTGATTTATTTTATAGAAGATATTTCAATACTTCACAGTGAAGAATTTTGGTCTGCAGGCTTTGTTTTCAGGTTGGTAAATCCAGTGCTAGATTTTCTGACCGTTCTCATTCAGGATCATGAGAAGTTTGTGTTTAGTGTCACTCTAAAACTGAGCTGTAGATAAACCTCTAATGAGTGTTATTGATCTCCTGTCCATTTTCTGCTTCGCTGGCATTACAAATCCATGATAAATGTTTTACCTGCAGCCTGGATTATTCTTGATTTATTTTGTATTCAAAACTTTCACCTGTAAGAAAAAGTATTACTTCAGTATATATATCCAAAATGATCAGCCTATATTAGTGTATGTTTGAAAGAAAATCTAAGGAAGGAAGAGGCACATACCAAGGACCTGTATCTCAGTGCCAGCCTTTTAGTATCTTCTGCATTGTAGAGTAACCTTTAATACTCTGGGATTGAGCGAGATACACTAGCAGGTGCTATTGAGTTGGGCTTGGATTTTGGTTTTTGTTTTCTTTTGTTCTTTTTAAAGGTTAAGAAACTCACCTTGGTCTTCTTTTAGCCAGGGTATTGTTACACTGAACAGTTCAGTTCTGTCAGTTTATTTGATTTGCAGTTGGGATTTGCTCATAATACAGCATAAGCAGATTTTTTTTTTTTTTTTTAACCTCAAACAATTCCACGTTCTGGAGATATTTCTGCTCCCAAAAGCAGGCAAATAAAGAGTTGAGTTGTGTCTCCAAGAGCAGTGCTTCCTAGGGCAATTAATCCTCTTTTGTCTGAAAGACACTGATAGCGCTTGGATCTTTAAGGAGCTTTTAGCTGCTTGGGAGGCAGAGCAAAGCAGCAAAATATATTACCTTTCTTTTGAATAATTAGAACCAGAGATTAGGGAAGAAAGATCATAACTCAGAATTTCTTTTTCTGCTGGAAATACAAAGTACAGCCAGTGTGATATTGCACTACATGCAGAGTACACACTTCTATTTATAAACAAAACAATGCAATTCAGTGAGTAGGGTGGCTACATATGATTTGGCTGTTTTCTTTGCATAATGATAGTTTCTGTGATTTACTGTGTGTGACATCCTGCATGGTGAGAAGATGCTTTGAAAGTGGCCATCTGGTGCCAGAGTATGCCCATTCCCAGCACAGGAAGGACCTGTTGAAGAGAGTCCAGAGGAGGACACAAAGATGATCAGGAGGCTAGAGCACCTGTCCCATGAGGACAGGCTGAGAGAGCTGGGGTGGTTCAGCCTGGAGAATAGAAGGCTTCAGGGACACCTCAGAACACCTTCCAGTACTTAAATATGTGGATAAGATTTTTAGTAGGGTCTGTTGTAGGACAGAGGATGATAATTTACAAGAGGGTCAATTTAGATCAGGAAAGAAGATTTTTACAACAAGGATGAATAAACACTGGCACAAGTTGCCCGGAGAGTTGGTAGCTGTCCCATCCCTGGAAACATTCATGGTCAGGTTGGATGGGGCTCTGATATCTGCCTAAAAATATCCCTGCTCATTGATGACTGTCAAAGGTCCCATCCAAACCAAACTATTCTATGAATGCGGATACCTGCATCATAGGGGTAAGAATTCCTACACTTGCAAAAACACAATAATTTTTTGTATTTTTAGTGTATTTTTTGAGACATGGAAGGCAGAAGCAGAGCCATGCCTTGTATCAAATGTTGCAGACACACCAAAAGTTCTAGTGGCCTACAAATATTTCTCAATTTGATTGTTTAACTATTACAGAGCACTTGAGATAGTGTTTGCATAGGATTATTTCGTTTGACACTGAGCTCCCTTTCCACAGTGGTAGAAGTAATCTGAAATTGCTATGTTTGTTACAGTTCATTTATGATTACACTTCTCTTGTGCATCTGTGGTGGTAAAACTGCCCTTTCCTCCTTGGGCCACACTGTGATCTCAGAAATGCTCATTAGGCCTCAGCCCTGATGAGCAGCAGCTGGCTCAGCTCGTCTTGAGTCTATCAGAAACACTCTGCTCCCTGGGACCTGCACTGGCTGATGAGCTCCTGGATTTAATGAACTGCCTTAGAAACTTGTTTTTCCTGCCTCAATAACATCCCAAATTGAAAAACATTTTGTTGTTGAGCTTTCAAAGAAAGTTACTGACCCAAATTGTGGTCAGGATGGGAAATTACTGACTAAGGCCCACTTGTTTTGTGACCATGGTCCCAAATGAGACCCACTGAGCTCTCCTGGACTGCAGTGGGCTGTGACAGCATCTCCCTCTGAGTGAGACACCATTGTGAGCCACAGAACTCTCAAGTTTACTTGGAGGACTGCTGTCAGAAGCTGCCAGAGCCTGGGGTGATACCCCCACTCCTCAGGGATCAACCCTTCACCCAACAAGTAGATCCAAAGGTGTCCAATGCAAGTACTTCCCTGAAATTATGGGGAATTTTCACAGGGACATATATACTTCGTACATACTCATTTAAATCTGTGTGTATGAGTATGAACACATCAAAGTCTTCTGAATATTTCTTTAATTCTTCCACACATTAGATTCATAAGTAAATTATGTCTATTAGTGAGTTACCATTATGCTATGGTAAATTCCAAAAAGAATCTTTCATTCAATTGTTTAAATTAAGCTATTCATTAA